CATGGTACGTGGACTTCTTTTGGGCAAAGCGTTGAAAATTATTGGAATCGGACTAAAATTACGACCGCTTTTCATATAACGGTATATTTCAGAAATGCTTGAAACTGCAATATTTCGAAATTTAAGGACGCTAATTTACTTAAAATTTATACACCCCGGCTTATCGTGTAGCGGTAGCTTTCGGAAAGGTGGAAAACATATACTTAATAATTGCGCCGGGTATTTAATGTTCGGCTCCGCCCGAACTTAGACTTTCTTACTTGTTAATATATATTTTTTTTTGGTGATGCCTTTGCGTTGATTTTTTGAAATTTGGTTCAGTACGATCTTCCACATTTTATTTCAATCAGTGCGGAATTTCATGTTCCTATCTGCTTGAAGGAGGAGTTTCAAGGAAAAATCTTATATCTGAACAATCAGTTGCATGGTAGCTATATATTATAGTGGTATTTTTTTGGCTCCGACAAATGATTAAAACATTATAAAAATACGCTCACTTACCAAATTTCAGTGAGATATCTGAGGGACTAGATTGCATACAAACAGACGAACAGGAAGACAGACGGACATGGCTAAATAGGTCTATCATGAGTCTATCTCTTCTTATTCTGGTACTTACAAACACATGGGACCAAAGTATACATACTAATACCATTTCATGCTTATGAAAGCTATACAAAAGTACAGTATTATTTGAGTCCTGCAAATTACAGTGAGCGCCACTTCTACTAAGTAAATCACAATGCAATACCAATGAGCACAAAAAGGGAAAAATTGAAAGAAAATCGCTATTGCACGATGACTCGCTGATATTATGAGTGACAGCTGTTGTTTTTGTTTTTGCTGTTATCTACTTTTATAAACATTTATGTATATGCATCTGTTTCATTGTGTGACAGTTGTGTTTGCTTCTGTTCGCTGCGATGATGACGTTGATGAAAATGTGTGTTGGTGGTGGTGGCGAAGATTATTAACGAGACCAATGAGTTCATTTGGGGAGAACGATATTTTTTGCGTACGATCCTATTTTATTCTGTTTTGAAAATACTTTTTGAGACATTACCAGGAAGGCCCTATTTAAAGTTTAAAGACTGTTAAATTGCGAGTACATCTCAGACCGAATACTAATATTTAAGTCCCTTATCGTTTGACACTCAATATTTTAACACACAGAGAATCTTTTAGTGCCGAGTTTCAATTAAAAAGGGATCAAAATGTCACAGGATTTAAAAACGTTTGAAATTTTTTGTTTATATTTTTTTTTTATTTAGTTATTATTATTTTTTTTTTGTTTAAGAAAGTGCTTGACGCCTGGAAACGATGTCAAATTCAATTATTTAATACGGATCGTTGGCCTGGAGGAAAGAGTTTGAGTTTTGTGTCTTTCTTTTGTTTATTTAATGTTGTTATTTTTTTTATGAAGGTAAAGCTCGTTATCTAACTAAAACCATGTAAGTCCGATTTTCAAACTTTGTGCAAATTAGGGAAAAATCGACGAATTTCGACAAAATTGCATAAAATTTTCAAACTTTTTTGTCAGAATTTTTAGTAAAAATGTTGAAATGCAGCTTTATAGCTTATATGCTATAAATAGTATAATAAATAAAACAAAAAAGTTTAAATTTTAAAACAAAAAAGTTTGAAGTGGCTAGAGAATACCGTTGCTTCTTGCCAATTTTTTTTTTTTTGACGGTGCACAGTGGGACGTCCCCATATAAGTTACGGCCAAATATATTAAACATACTACAAATTCGTTGAAATTTCGTATATCCGCTATTGTGCACTTAAGAATGAAGAAATGTGCTCTTGTGGGCGAAAATGGTAAAATATCGGATTTTGATAAAATGCAAAGTCTATGCTGCTATTAACCATAAAAGCATAATTCTGAAAGAACGTAAAAATCGGCTTACATTATCTTCTACAAATCATAAAAAAATAGGCGCTAATTTAAAAAAAAAAATATTTTTTTTATAACATTCTTTTGTACACTGCTCGTTTACGCCAAAATTTTCCAATTTGGGAGATAATGAAAATTTTCTTACTATGACGCGTACCTCACACAAAACTTTTTTGGCCATACATTTGTATGTACCAAATTTTATGAATTTTGGTCGAAATTAACAGACACACATAATTTATTTCTACAATAAATATTCAATAAATTTTACAGAAGGTGTGTTTATAAAAAGAATAATAGAAGCTGAATTCGGAGTTTCTCACAGCTGGAACTATTTCAGAAATTATGCGCGTATTTAAACTTTACTTTTACTAAGAAAAAATTATCGTTTTCCAGGTCCTTTTTAAATATGGGCATTTCCATTATGCCGAATGGGACCATATCGTACGCATTCAAACCGAAAAACCGTAATCCAAAAACTTTTTTTTTAATTTTGACAGCAGGCTTAACTAGTTAGCCCTATAATTGGTGCTAAAGTTGATTTTGGCCAATTATTCGTTTTCAAGATAATTAAAAAAAAAAAAACCAAAAGCAGAAGTGGCTTTGGCGGCCAACAATTCAAACGCCGATGTGCGCGAAACCTGATTTTACACAAAAATAATTTATACTTTTTTTTTAATTTAATTTTAATCACTGTCGCACGGTACCATCATGATAATGTTTTTTAAGATTGCCTTTAAATGATTTTTTAGCGCAAATGAAACAAGAATCCTATGTCGCATATACTTTATATTTTGACTTCAGCACCAATTCAAGGTAAATTTTTTTTTGGAAATCTATGATTTATTTTGTTTCAACTGCATACGCCAAATTTAAACGAAAGCGGACCATAAATAGGGGTTTTCAAAATATCTTGACCTGGACGCCACCTAGTAAGACCATTATAAAACCAGTATAAATTTAAAACAGCAGACAAATTGACCTATGAATACGTTAGATACATATATGACTTTTATTTTTATTTTTATTTTTATTTTTTTTTTATTTTTTATTTTTTTTTTATTTTTTTAATTTTTTTCGCGGCAGACCTTCTGATGGTACGTCATATCCCTTTTTAAAGTAAGCACTCGAAAAAATTTATAAACACAAAATTATTTCGAATTTCTAGTGAAATTGTCTTATAAATTTCACTAGATACATATATAAAA